CGCCAAGGCTGGTGGAGCACCGCCAGTTGGGAATGGAGGGGGAGGGCCTGGTGGACCGGTACCAGTTGGGAAGGGAGCGGTGGGGAAGCCAGTGGGTGCTTGTACCTCGCGCTTTCCGAAGGCTGGAGCGGTTGGGCCAGGGGTCCAGCCAGTGGAGTGGTGGTGGTGGTGGTGATGGGGACCAGTGCCCGTGAAACTGCCTGTTGGGAAGGGGGCTGCTGGAGCTTGGGCTACTGGGGCAGCCAGGCCACTAGAAAATTGTTAACACACGTATAAGATGGGAGTTGGAGTAGGCTTACCCAGCCGAAAGCAAAGCCGCAAGAAAGAAAGTACGAATAGACATATTGAACGAAATCTCGGGTATCAGTAAAGGAGTGGCTAGATACGAACGAGATGTTGTGCCTGCTTCCGAATTCAGAAAAGGAATGGGAGCCGTACTTATACTCTTCATCCCCTACCCAGAATCTCCATCCAAGCAGTAGATGTTAACTCAACGGTATAACTTTCCCGGGCTAGATTACGCGTACATAATCTCTTTAGGTGCGCGCACAAATCACATACATGGTGGATGATAACATCTGCCTTTCGTACACACAATCAACATTTGCCTACTTGCAGATCTTGTCGCTCGGAACTTCAAACAAATTATCCATGCGTCTGCAAACAAGGTATGAAAGTGCCGCCGGGCGGTGAAAATCAAATTCGATCAATCGGACCATGGTATTCTTTAACCAAATTGAAACACGCTCCCTATATAAATTGATTGAAAAGAAATAAGCATTTCAATTCACATGGCGACATCTATGGGCACCAATTGGAATTCGTGGGCACACTCTTAGAGCTGGCGACTTGCCCTTTCCGGCAAATCGGGAGAAAGGAGATTTTAAAAGGACGGGAGATCCGCCGGAGTGTGTGCGAGGGTTTGCAGCAAATGAAACATGAAAGGAAATTTCCAACATGCGCATGGCGGCACGTGAAAAGACCCCCTTTTCATATTATTAAGACGCTAAGCCCCGCATTTTTGAGTTCGGTAGAGAAAATTCTGGAGAAATGAAACCCTAGGTCCAAGTTCTGCTACCATTGCCTGTTCAGGTAGATTAAAGGCAGAAAATGAGAGGTGCAGAGAGCGCGAAAAGATAATTATCCATTGGAGCACATAGGCTAATGTCGTCTCAGGCCAATGTTCTAGACGAAAATTTCCGCACGTATTAGCAAAATCAGAGAAGACAAAAACCAGATCCTGCTTGAACCCTGTTGAATATTGCAGCTTACTGGGCTCTTGTATGATATCTTTAGCTGATATTGCTGATAAACCCAAAAACCGAAGCAAGGAAAGGAGATATTACTTCCTTTGAACTGTACCTGATAAGGAACGGGCAGTCAAGGCCCGTTCAGGACGAGCTCCGAAATAGAAGGGACGAGACAAGCTCCATGTCGTGCGTTCACCCTAGTTTTATCGTAATCGTCGAGATAAAGACTTCCCATAGGACCAACAGCAACTTATTGACAGGGCGTGGGTGGATGCGAAGCCCAGAGTCGAGCGCTTCTGCAGAGCAGAGTGAAAATACACGCAGTAGAAAGTTGGCATCTTGATGGCCACGCGTCTCGGAGTTCAAAGCCTTGGCTACATACTGTAGATGTTATGCATAGCCAAGCCTCTAGGTATAGAATGAGCCTCATCCGAGATGCATGAGAGGACGGGGAAATCGGCGGGAGTGTTAAAATCCGAACGAGATACTGTACCTCTGTACCGTGGTTCGTAGACTGTTCATCTGGTCTCGGCTGAAGTCGACATTTTCTGAATAACTCCTCGTTGGGAATGCTCTTACCTCGAAACGGGATTCGCGCTTTCCTTAATACCTCCCGGGCACTTCTCCGATTTCTCATTTGAATACGTACTTACTATCTTCCGAAAAGATGTAATCATTCATTCGACTGGTGTTATAATTCAGAGCCCTTTCATAACGCCCCGCAATGCTCGCTGAAAGGACTTTGCCGCCCTTTTGTCCGTAACTTCATACAAACAACTAAGATCTACACTTCATTCATCCAGCCCGACAGCCATCATTGCTGTGATATCATCCGCCACCTTCATCACCAGCCAGATTTTCATAACCAGACTCATCGCCTTCATCCTCAGTAAGTCGCAGCGCTTCACCAACATCTGCAACGAAATGATCTTTGCCCCCACAAATTTCAATAATCCCACTCCGGCGGAAAAGTTCGAATATCGGAGTTCCATCAGCTGGGGCCCGAGAGAAAAATACCCTGACCCCGCGATCTCTATAGCCGCGCACAATCTCTTCCAAGACCTGTGTCCCGGAGCCATCTAAGCCCGTCACGCCATGAATGTCGAAAATGATGTTTTTGTTGTGCTCTGGCGATCGAACTCGGGGTAATGCAGGATGTGCACCAGTTGTACCGTATAATTCCAACCTTCGGAGGCGATTCTTCAGATCGCCCGTATTTGCGAATGTCAAGGGCTCGGGGATCTTGACAATTAGGCATCCTTCGATGAATTCTAGTTTATCCGGGTTGTCTTCTGCGTTTGCAAATTTGTTTGTCCCTGGTATTCTCCCTAGGATTTGGATACGTGGCCGAGTACTGTGTTTGATGACGGATAGGAGTGACAAGCCTACCCCAATAGCAATCCCAAGGGTGAGGGAATAGAATATTGTTGCAGCAAAGATTATAATCATGAGCCCCAGTTCTGTGTAACCTCTTATCCTTAGAAAGAATAAGATATCGTGGGGTGCCTCCTCGACAAGGGACCAGGCCACAACAGTGATCATTGCAGATAGAACTGCTTTCTACATGACTGTTAGAGACTGTATGAGGCCGAAACGAGTTGAACTTACGGGAAGATAATAAAACGCTGGCAGCAAGTACAATATGCAAATGATAGTAATGATACTCAGGAAAATGCTGCTCATCGGCGTCTTCCCGCCCGTACTGGCGTTCACTTTGCTTCTCCCGTAACCACCAAAAGCGGGTAGTGCACTGAAACATCCACCAACCAAGTTGGCTACCCCTAAAGCCACGAGTTCCCTGTTGGGACTCAAGGCAATTCCCTGAATGCCATCTTTGCTCTCTCCTCCACCAAGGCTTTTAGCAGCAACAGAAGATTCAAAGAAGCCGAGTAGAGCAATCAGGAACGAAGTTCCCATTGCTTCCCGAACATGTTTCATATGATCTAGTTGGAAAGGCCAATGGAAGGGGAAGGGAGACCCCGTTGACGATTCTACTTTGCCAAGGATTTCGATTCCATGCTGGTCCCAGCGATACTGCCAGCTCAAAATTGCTGATAGTACCACAACGCAAAAACGGTCTGGGATGTATGCAACCTTAGGGTACCGAGGCTGAAGGTATCTCTTCCCTTCTCTGATGAAAGTCAGCACCTCCACCCGTAAAAAAGCAAATTACTTACCTGAAGGTCATAATAATTACAAAACTTACCCCAGCAACAGCTGCAGTCTTGCCAGATATCTCATGGAGGTTTCCAAAAAGGAATCGCAGTTTTTCAACACTGCTACCATGGGCAACTCGTGCTTCTTCTGCCAAATCTGCCAGACCTAACTCAGGTACAAGCTGATCTACCATAATGACAAATCCGATAGCCGAAATAAAGCCCCTCAAGAATGGTCTACTGAGGACGCTATCCAAGAATCCCAGGCGTGTCAGACCAGCAATAAATATCACAGCTCCTGCCATCCCGGTAACAATACCGGCAACTCTAGCATGCATAATATCGTCATTTTCAGGTGTTTGCCCACTGTCTACACTGGAACGAACAACGCTTCCTACTAAAAGACTACCTGCGGCTTCAGGACCAACCACCATTTGCGGGCAGCTGCCAAGTATTGCATATATAAGCGGATTGAAAACGAATGAGTACAATCCATTTATAGGGGGAACGTGGGCAAGGTTTGACGCGTAAGATAGGGCCATGGGAAGGTAGAACGATGCCATAGTGAGAGCAGCTATTAGATCCCCTCGGAGGTGTACCCATTTGTATTGTCGTATCCAGGCGAAGAAGGGGATGTAATAGGCGAAGTACCTGAAAAATGGCAGTACATTAGCTGAATGTCCACGGCTGGAAATTGTCAGACTCGCAATACATACATTGTCCTAGTATTTCTAATGCCATGCTGCTCTGCCAAATAACTAGTCGTGCTCATTTTCTTCTTGTTGCTCGATCCAGACCCGGTTTTCATGCCAACATTCTCGAGGAAGCTCCCAAACATAGAACTGCTTGAACCGCTAGTTTCTCGTGTATTTCTAGGCATTGATCCTCCAAACCCATATCCGCTGTGCCCACTCATCACACTTTCTGGTCGGCTTTCCAGCCGGGGACTGAATGTGCCATGATTGCAAGGCCCAGCATGTGGAGAGCTTACAACCAATTCAAATGGCCTCTTCAACAGCGCAGTTGTCTCTGAGGCCACTCTATTCCCAAAATTAGCAATACCAACTCCATTGTGTTCTGCATCTACAGCGTCGTCTGCCGCATGGTCCGTATCTGGGTGGGTAGGGTATGTATTCGGTGAAGGATTCGAACTGCTCGGTGCGGTGTCTGTGCCCGAACCTTGCCCTATCTCTTCTGGAGATCTAGAGAGAGTATGTGCTTCGCGCAAGCTGCTTGGGATTTGAGGTACGTGTTGTTGAGCGGACTGGCTGATTACTGAGGATGCGCGAGAGTGCTTCGCTGAAGGAGGGGTGTTCGGTCTGCGAGAGGACATGTTGGGGGAACACGGCCCGGCGTCTGATCTACGAATGAATGAGGCATATACATATGTACATAGAAGACGTAGAAGATGGTTTGCTACTGGGAGACACAGTATAGATATCGCGGAGCTGGGTCGAGTTGGTCTGGTTGTTTTTCTTCAGGTGCTCGCTAAACAGAACGGCAAGGATGGGATGCTTTGGAATCCTGCCGATGCCTTGCTATTCATGATTAAGTTTGTTTCTACAAGTAGGCCTGTCATTCCGACCGAAGGGGATAAGAAAATACTCCAGTACAAAATGTCTTATTAGTAAGGTGCCGAGCATGACCCCTGATTGGCTGGTTTTCCAAGCTTAAGCTTTTTTCTAGCAGCACTGCAAGAAGTAGCTTGCTTGACAATGCAAGTATACTTTTGGCACAGCATGTCAGACTCTTATAGTTGGACTGCGAAAATGAATCTCCATTTCCATCTGCTGTTCAACTTTTCGATTCATCAATTGTTCAGCCTCTATTAGTGGTGCATCCAGTGCGGATTATTATGGCTTACAAGACGCTTAGATGGCAATGCTTACAACTACTATAGCATTGATAGCCACGTGAATGATCCCGAGGCATGTCTTTCTTCTCCAACCCCATCTCAACGTTTGAAGGCTTTTATGATACATGCATGGTCTGTTTACATCACCTTTCTCTCCAGACCGCAAGACGTCTGTTATGATGCAACTGCCACAATTAAAAGCCTTGCTAGCCCACGCATCTGCCTCCTCATTATACAGCCTTGGGACGTGCCAGAATCTTACTCCGACTCCCAAGTCATTCAGCTCTACCATTAGCTTTTTCAGCTGTTCGAAATGTACCTTATTGACCACCTTTGCCCTTTTAGCCATTCTTCTCCCACTTCATAATCTAGCTTGTTGTGCCCTCCACCATGTTCTTTCAAAGGTTTACATTCTTTGTGCTGTATCTAAAGACATTGGTGGAGAGAATAATGCATGGAATACATTGTGCGTGGTAAGTTCTCTTCGCTGTATCGTCTCTTTCTACTTAATACTGAAGAAACTCCATCCCCTATAGTCCATTTTATACTTTTTTGCTACTGAGTCATAAGCTATAGAACGGTATTCAAATGGGAAATTGAGATACCTTTAAATTTCCCTTCTCAAAAAATATCTAGGTAAAGTTCCACTGAACCTAAGCAGTACTTCTGGTCGTTTCGCCTAAAACAGCTGGGAGGAGAAAGCACTTCCGGCGCTTCCTGTTTCCGGATTCAATCAACTCCTCAAATCGTTTCTTAATTGTACAGAAATTTAGGCTGATTGAACTTTGAGGAAGAACTAACGAGCAAAGCTTTAACAGTGTTAAGAAACCCTTACTTGCTATCACTCCCACTCTATTGTGTGCCGATCTCTTTATTGGGTTCTAAATTACATAAGCATTATTTCAATATTCTCTTTATACGTAATCTTACATATATGGAACGAATCCTCCTCTTGGTGATTTGCTTCACGTGCAGACCCTATTCACGGGAAGGGAAGGATATTATGCACTATATCATCATCCATGTGGTTGTTGAGCTCGCTCAGAGCCAGATCTTGAAGCGGCCACGCAATCCAGCTCTCCCAAACCTTCCCAATCCTCTCATGAACAGTCTGCAGTAGTTGCCTGCTCATGCCATGCATAAACCAGACCCCATCTACTTGGTTCAAAATCAACGAGTAATGTGCCAGGATAATGAGGGCTTCGGGCTCCAGCCGATCAACCAGCTCAAGAAAGGTTGCGGATACACAGGTAGGCCAAGTCAAAGCCAGCGAGATCGCACTAAGCGGGCGCTCGCTAGTGGATGAATTAAGTATTCCACATGCTTCTTGTATCAGAACAAGAGCCTCGCTGAGCGCTTCGATATCAGCAGGATTGTATCTTGAGGGTGGTGGGTCCCAAAGTTGACTCAAGCCTGTCAACTTCGCGCTTATTTCAGGATCGGCTTTCCTCACTATTGCGGGATACATTGTATGTGTTTCCAGCAAAGGTCCCAACGGGCCATTTGCAATCCAATCCCAAGCTGTATCGAGCAAAGTGTGCACTCCACGCAAAAGGCTAGCCCACGTCGTACTGAATTCTTGCTCAGCAGGTGGTAAAGTTGAGAAGAACAAATCGCTGGTCTGGTGGGAAAATGGCCAAGCGTGAGCAGCGAGCAGTGACGAAAAGGCGAAACAAGCATCGCAGTTGAAAGGTGTGATATCCAGAACCTCGGTATGGAATAATCTCACACCCACGTCGTAGTGAGAAGATGCCTCCGCCCATAACGATTCTCTACGTTCTGGCTGAATATGTGCAAGGTGCAAGGCAGCGAATGATAAGATACCGCGAAGGAGAAAGTGATGGGTGAAGGCGATTTGAGGGATGACGTGTTGCCAAAGTCTTTGTCGATCCGGACATTCGGATATTGTGAGGCAAGTTTCGGTTAGGAAAAAGTGAAATAGCTCGAGATCCATCACCCCAAATGCTTGATTGCCAATCCCGTGATGGGTTTCCCCTAGTGCTACTGGTAAAGTGGTATATTCAGGGGATAGAAAGAAACTGTTTTCGAAACCACCAGACACTACCAGAGAGGATGGAGATTTCGGAGATAGTGGAGATGTTACTTTGTTGTTTGCCGTCGAAGATTTGTCTGGCAGTTCTTCAGAAAATGAGCATGGAGAAGAAAACCTGCTGCAATGCCCACAAGACGGCTTGCTTTCGTCGCACTAAAATACTAATGTCAGACAATTTGATTGTAATCCACAAAAGAATCAGGAAGCCGTCTGAAGATGGCGATGATGGGAGGGCCCGAACAGTGCCCGAAACCCCTTTGAAGGCAATTCTTAACACACCTTTATTTTCCTCTTTTTACCTATATCAAGTCTTAAAGTCAGCATTGCATCTCTAATAGACTAAGAATGATTTAAAGCAGAACAAGAGCAAAGCGATAAATAGGTCGACTTCAAGAGATATATGGGTAGGAGTATTCAACCAGAGAAACTAAGCACCTACATTGTTGACATCCATTTCTAGATTTACGATGAGGTCTCCTCTGACTTAGCAATCCAGAATCTGATTTTGGTGACATTTTCATATTGTTTCTTTTCGACAAAATTCAAGAAGTGACCAGGACGGAGCTTAGGACATGCATCCCAAGATATGCATATGAAAGGCCCTCATTCTTAAATCTCACCGCCGGGATACAAGGATAATAACACGCTGCCACGTTTATTCTAGTGCTTTTAGTAAACAGGGTTGGCTTTGGTCACTTAAGCTGATTCTATAATATATTTATAACCTGGGGCTTTGCACTCATCCTGTGATTTGTAACCAGATTTTCAAATGATATTAAAAAGTGCTGTACCACTCATTCTTTGCGTGACATCTTGACGTCAATACCCCTGTGTACTATACTTGTATACATCCGTGCTTGCAATAGCGATCGTTCTACTAAATTTTTAGTGCTAGTAAAGGACTATTCCGTACGAACCATCTTCGTTAGACTTAGTGCTGAGTAAGATTTCTAGTGCAATGAGGCTGTACAGCCCTATAGGGCTTTAAGGAGCCTAACTCCGAATGCCAGCCAAGCATATTATGAAACTCCGCTAAAATATATCAAGCTGGAATCCACCAAAATGCGCATTTGAAAAAGTTGCAAGGAGGCTTATCAATTATAGGAATCTGGTATTCCATTACGTATGTATTAATGAGAGATGATACGTAGTAAACTTCGAGCTTCACGTGCAGATATTATAAGTCATTTTCTATCCTTAGACGTTTGAATTGTTACCTTTATCTAGCATGGTATTTCAAACCTTTCTCGCCTGCTTCACGTACCTTCCTTTGACTCTTGGCAAACCCCCTATAGCAAATTCTCGCCACCCTAAATCTATGAATTGGGGGCGTACCAGGCGCCACATCCATCCCGAATATCTCTACTGCCAGTACTAGTCATCTTAGAAATCATCAAAAACATCACCTCATGACAGCAACCGACATTCCCTGACCCATAATTTGTGCGTACGTGGTACCAATATTCTGATCTGTACCGATCTGCATAAGGCTCTGCTCTACGGAGCTCCACGGAGCTCCGTATGCCTCTTGGCAACCACGTATTCAAACATCCCAGCCTCAAAGATCGCAAATTGCAGTGTAGGTGCAAAAGCCACCTAATTAACAGGCTATCAGGATATAGAAAGATAACTTTTCGCTTCTTCGGTGGAGTATCCGACGCGATATCCCTACGTAGATTCTAACCATCTAAAGACACCGCACAGAACAATAAAATAAGCAAAGATCTAATCTTCCTTCGGATAGCGCTATCTTTGATTAGCTTAGACGCGAGGTACTTGGCGCGGGTCTCAAGAATCCTGCGTATATAACTGGCTTATAACCCTGGTATAAACCTCTTGAATAGCGGGACTAAACCAATCTTAAAGTGAGACTTCTCGGTTGAAACTCTGTCTCTACTTAAATATCGGCTTTTGATTGGCGTGGGGTACGAAGTATGGAATTATGGAGTAAATATAGTGGGGAGTGTCAAACTTGTAAGAAGGCGAGTAGTACTATATCGTAAGCTGTAACTTTATTTGCACATCAGACGAGTCGATGTTTGGCCCCCACCCCTAGTTTCAAGGTTAAGTGTTTAGTTCTTTTTAGGAGCTTTAACTCTACGGAGTATAACTTAACTCCTACTCCGCGGACATAGTGTATTGTGGCCTACTCCACTTGAAATCAAGAAACCGAGACGTGAAAGTGTATTAAAAGAATACTAAGTCTACAAGATAGTAATTTAATTTTCTATTAAACAATAACTGTTTAAAATATATATAACATAATGCTATTAGCTATGACCTTCCTCTTTTAACTTAAGGGCCTTTAAACCCATATTTGCATCATTCGCGTAATATGGTTTTGTGGAGTAGGCCGCAATACAGTATGAAGAGGGCGGACCGATCGGAGCGACCGCCTACATGTAAATCAATCGTTTCTGGGTTGTTTCTGGGTATGCTTTTCCATATACAGTAATATAATCGTCCACTTATCGTTTCACGTGATAGACGCATGCGACGTTTTCAAGCACTCACGGACTATGAAAAATCCACCTTTTACACTTGTAGGCGGTTCGTCCGACGTGCATTCCCCCCCCCCCTCTTTTACTAACGCGTAGGAGTTAAAGCATTGAACCAGGGGGCTTCAGCTATAAATTTGGGATCCACTAGGCCAAGGTCAAATGACTATCTAAGAAGTACTTTGTAGAAAGACTATGACTTTCAGCCCCTTGTGTGGACATCAGCTCCCTGTGTGAGGTGGACATCAGCCCCTCGTGTGGACATAACCCTTACGTGAACGTTTCTCAAGTCATCCTTTGCAGATATATAGAAAAATGACGGGGGATTCACGCGGGGGGGGGGGGGGATTGAATATATACTTCCGTGTACTCGGGTGGTGTTGCTTACAATAAACTAATTCCAAGGTAAGCCCTCTTTTTATGTCTACGTCAAAAAAATATACTGTCTTCTAATTTAAAAGTCAGTAAGTGCTAGGTGCACAGATATCTGGTAATTCAAGTATCTAATTTCACGTGGTATGATTATGTGCTGCAGGTCTATCAATGTGTGTGATTCGCAATGAGTTCCTCATTTGACTTGCTCCACCCAAATGGGCTAGACTGATTTGATAGACCACCAGGCCATTAAATTAATTGAAGAGTATAGAAAAGCACTTATCCTCATTTATCATCCTACCGCAGCTGCAAATAATCTATTATTAGCATTGTGATGCTGGAATTGAATAATCGTCGGCCATCCCTGAGTCTCCTCGCATTGAGGCCCCAGTTGAAACATGCGGTATAGGTAGGCGGTACAAGTAGTGGCAGATCCCCTTGTGGTTTGTTGGGACGATTATGTAAAAAAGTAGCCTGTAGATGCCATTTGGGATGTGGATCGATATTTCATCATCTGACGAATCCTGGCTCTGGACTTTTGGAGATGAAATCTGGAAATCAGTAAAGAGGGTGGACACCTTATCGAGGTAATCGGTGCCCCAAGCGGGAGATGTCTCACTCCCTTGAACGCTTGCTGTGTCAGGTTGCTCTCTCAATTATCATTTTCCAGTTGAACATGTTCAATGAAACTGCATCTATAAGTGTCCATCCAGACAAGTTATATGGATATCCTCGTTATATTTATTCTTTCAGCGAAAATTATTATATCCTGCCAAGTCTCCTAGTGGGCGTGTGCGTGTGCAAGACAGACTGTTCAAACATTATGCCGAGATGTTCTCTGGTGCCCGCCGCGCCTCCTTTGGTACATGTACCACGCAGATATAAGCAGTACTGTCAAGGGAACGGAGAATATCCATATCAACCAGACTGATCCGAAACGCCGAATGCTCCCCCAGCTCCATCGACACCTTCCAAGTAAAAGAAAGGCGTGCTGAAAAGGGTCTATGCACTATCAGTCTATAGCGCTGAAAGTGTGCACTTGTGTTATCAACTTACGACCACTGCTTCAAAGGGAAGAAAGACTAGGCCCATGAGGGCAATACTCTTCATGGCGTGACTATCTGCTTTCAGGACCTGGGAGTCAGCTTGCGTCACAAGGTTAAATGCCTACAAAGCTCGTTAACGCCATCGACACTGTCAACATGTTAATTATTTACCAGATTAATTATGTTCTTGGTTCTCTTCTCCAAACTCTTCAACCGCAAACTCGTGGACGTGAGCATCATTGTTCGGTGGCGGAAACCAGCTTTTATCTCGCGAACAGCAGTTACGCTCACCGTTGACCCCTCGGTGATCCGTTCATGGTGCTCTTTCACAGAGCCCAACGTCGCTACTACACCTTCGACAGCTTCTAGCAGATATATTTCATGCCTCGCCAGCATATGTAAACCAACGAAATCCAGACCATCGGCAGCATATCCCGACTGTCTCGCCAACCTGAGAATTTTCTGGAGGAGAAGTAAGTGTTTACCTCAACAATTTGGGTCTTCCGATTACTTACATCCTCTTCCTGCCCATACACAGTAGCAAAATCCCAGGCCATCGTGTCAATACGAGCATACAGTCCTTCGAAGACAATATTGAGGAGACAGTATGGATCCTCCATGATCTCTTGCCAACTCATGTTTCTAGCCGCGGCGGCGAACATTTCGCGCAGTCCCAAGGCTGCACCTACTGAAAAGGCAATCAGCGTAACCTCAGAAAAGCCGCCTGTCTGACTCGGCTTTATTTTCAGGCAATACGCCGAGCGGGCCCAGGTGAAGTTAGCTTGACTCAGATCCTCTGCTACTCTCCTGTTCTTATTCACAATTCGTTTCCCTCCATCTCTGGTCGTTTCTAGCTCAAGGTTCTTACACAAGAAATGGAACCAAACATCTCACAACAGTTAGTACACATCTGCTTTCGGCGAAGGGCAGATGTTAGGTCTCACAAGTAGAGTTATGCATATCCTGCGAGCTCCCAAAAGAACATGCAACACTGTGTACTCTCTCAGAAACGAAAGCTCCGGGAACGGAGTAATGCCTAAACAATCGCAGAAGGTCTTTGAAATCCAAAAAATTATTGCCCCCAACCTTAATACGGTTATTCGGCATGTCGAGAGGTGCAAGGCTGGTAGCCGCACCAGCATTAGCAGGAACAAGCAAGAACAAGCTGGAAGGTGTGGTTTCTCTAACTTACACAATCCGCACAGGGCATGGGGGCCGGTTGGCAAGCTCCTCCATGCGGCTTTTTGGCAGCGGGAACCCGTGGTCGACATCTGTTGTCTATGAGAATATCCAGCTTCAAAGGTCGTTGGACTTACTCTCGGGCCATTCGAATCCAGTGAACTCAATGGGTTTATATGAGTTTGTTGGATCCTGGACTACCCGACTTTTGAAATCTTTATAGACAAGCTGGTTTCTCCAGCCACTGTTCATGATGAACTCTCAAAAATCACTTCAAGAAACCGAAGAATACTGATAATCTGTCGCAATAGTCTACCGCAGAGGAAACAGTTGATTGCGAGGCTCTGCTGAATGGG